AGACTCCCTGCCTGCGGTCTTAGCTTGCTGCAGGCCGGCTATCAGAACCACCATAGATCTTTGTTACCTATGAATATTCATCATTCTTCCACTCCAGTAGTCTGTCCATTTTGATGGGAACCACATCTAGCAAGATCATTTGCTATACCTTGCCTTCCATCACTTCAAATATAATCTACTTGTCCATTCACCTGATGTAGGTGGGTCTTCTGTATTTCTGTTGTTTTCATTGGTTAATCAATAAAGAAACTGTTTGGCCTGATAGGTCAGAACATAGGTGGGTGGAGCAGACAGAACAGAATGCTGGGAAGAAGGCAATGAGGCAGTTGCCATGACTCTCCTCTCCAAGATGGATGCAGGTTAAGATTCTTCCTGGTAAGCAACCACCTTGTGGTGCTACACAGATTACTAAATATGGGTTAAAGCAAGATGTGAGAACTAGCCAATAAGAGGCTGAAACTAATGGGCCAGGCAGTGTTTATATGAATAGTTTCCATGTAATTATTTCAGGGGCAAAGCTAGCCAGGTTGCCAGGAGCTGGGTGGGACGAAAAGCAGCCCGCCGTTCCTTCTACATTCACCCTCAAATACTACCTGTGTTTACGTATGCTCAACAATTCTCAAGTACCTTAGTCCATTGGTTATTTTACATTTACTCTCCTTTTCCCTATTTACTCCCCAACTCTGACTTTACTGGTGCTTCATTACCCTCCTCTCCTTCCCTCTAACTTCAGCACATTTGCATCCTGCAGTTCATCCTCATCCTATCCTCTTCAGTCTATGCCCTATTCACCTCAATTTGCCCACATGTAGCTGGAGCAAGCTGCCATCTTTGGCATAGAAAGTGTACATGATTCATAGGAACTGGTATAAGCTGAGCCCTAACTTTAATTCAGAATAACCTTTAATGGAGATGATTTTCTATTGGTTAAAAAAATCAAGTAGCTATTTCCAGTTCTCTTGGATATCTTTTCTGTAGACTGTACCAGGAACAAGCTAATCAGTGCTACATTTCCTCTACCTGCAATTGGACATGTCCATGTGATTTACAGAGCTAAGAAGATAAAGTAAGGATGAGGATGCACCAGAGTGTGAGAGTACTTCACATGTTTGAGCTCCAGCACTGAAATAACACCTCCATCCAACATAAGCCTACTGCTCACTTTTTTAGAAATAAAAAAAAGAGGCTGGAAAGATAGCCCAGTTGTTAAGAACATTCTTACAGGGGACCCAAGCTTAGCAAATATTTATACATTAAATAGTGTTTGATTGGGTCTATGGAGTTTGAGCAACAATTATTGAAAGCAGTTGTAATGAAGTTTCTAAATGCAATTTAGAAATCTGTATCAAAGTAATTTAACTTCTAGGGTTTGACTCTGGAAAATAAATACAGACATGCATCAACAAAAATAATCTGGGTGACTCTCTGGCTTCAATATGCATACATATATGCAAATGAGCACATGCTTGCATGTATGTGCATGTGCACACATGTATACACACACACACACACACATACTTTTATTTATTTTTAGTGAGCTCTACATTTTTCTCTGCTCCCCTCCCCTTCAACCCTCTCCCAAGGTTCCCATGCTCCCAATTTACTCAGGCGATCTTGTCTTTTTCTACTTCTCATGTAGATTATATCTATGTATGTCTCTCTTAGGGTCCTCATTGTTGTCTAGGTTCTCTGGGATTGTGATTTCTGGGCTGGTTTTCTTTGATTTATGTCTAAAAACCACACACACTCTCTTAAAAAAGGTGATTAGAAAGGCACAGACAGACTCTCAAGTCTAATTCATCTGTTTTGATAAGTATAAACCCTGCTGGTCTCCAGGTTTTACATAGCTTGGGTTTCTTACTAATGCTACCAATGAATAGCCATATTAGCAAGAGGGCTACAAATACAGTAATTCACAAACAAGGTATCTTTTTCTGTAGTGAATGTTGTTATACTGCTGTCATGGATCTCAATTTCATTCTGATCTTGGAAAATCCATGTCGCTAGCACTAGTGACATATTTGGAGCAAGTTATTCTGCTTCCTATTGAATTGGTGTTTTATGCTTCTTGTAAAAAGTGTTTATATATGTGGTCATTTAAATAATTTTAAGATTTGAAAAAGTACCAATGAACTTTAATAAAGTAACTTCCCACGGGTGTTACTGTGTACCCTAAATATGTTCCAGTTTCAGTTATTTTAGGCTTATGTAATATGGTCTGGTGATCTTAGAATCACTTTACTTCATGTTTAGGAAAAAAAGGCCTACATATCTTGGGAATTGATTGAATAATTTGCTTCTTTGTTTTGTGGTTATTCAATTTATTCACTGAAAATAAACTTCATTGAGCTTATATACATTATGTGTTATGGATTCTGTATCTAGAGTTAACTATTAAAGGAACAAAATACAGTTTTCAAGATTTATTTTTCAAAAAGGTAGTATATCCTCACTGTACAACTTTCTAAAGCTATGAGAGAATACACAGGTGTCTCCATGTTTCATCTCCCTAGTCACCTACTGCCTCATTCCCTTCAATAAGATAATAATGGTAATCAGATTTTCATATTCCTTTCCAGAAACAGCTTACACATAAATCAGTTATGTACTTACCATTTTCTCATTTTTATATACAAACGGTAGAACATCATACTCACTGCACCCTGCTTTTCCTATCTAATGATGTAACTTGGTGACTACCCCAAATTTCTGCAGAAATAATATCTATGTTCTTTTTTCCTCTTGAGTTTGTGGTATGAATATGTCAGTTTCAGGAAGCAAAAATGCCATTTTGACAGCTTCTAATATTTTGTTTTCAAACAACACATCAACAAATAACATCTGTGTTTTGATCATTTTATACACGTGAGTAAAATGTATCCCTAGAAATGGAAATGCATTTGTAAATTTGATTGCTTTTAAATGCTTTTCTTTGAATGAGAACAGTTGGACTTGCTGTTTGCCAGAGGTTCTTAAGGTGGAATATGCCAGGGTCACACTCTACACAGAGCAGTTTTCTAAACAACTGAGATACCCCTTACCTTATGTTACTTCTTTCAGACTTTACTTTCCTTAAATCACCAAACAAGACCAACTATATCCCGTTATTTTCCTTCCCCATCTTCAGCTGTCCTTCAAATCTGTTAGATTACTTTCTGTAAATATAAACTCTGTCTCCCCGTTTCTCCCCAGCCCTCCTGTGGTCTTTGTCACAGCTGTCTCTGGTCATTCACCTTAGAGTGTATTTTAATTCTCAGAGGAGAGTTCTTAACTATGCTGACTCACTTCTGAAGCTCTGAAATCTCTTGCACTGGTGTCTTATTGCCTTTCATTCTAACAGCCCTATGGTTACAGTGGTTTCCAAAGAAATTACACATCTGCTTCTTTTTCCATGTGCATTAGGGTGAAAACAGATGAAAAGAAATGCTGAATTTATCCTAATGATTAGAGTAGAATTCAGGTACCATTTAAATATTAAATTAACACATCTTTCCTTTGGGGCATATGATAGACACTATTGCTTTGTTCCATATTGCATATTGAGTTTTGACTTGTGAGTGAGGCCTCTTCCATGGGGTTCCTTTCCTGTATGGGTTCTCTGATGTACAATAAGGTTGGATTTCTGGGTAAAGGCTTTCTCACATTCTGCACACTTATAAGGCTTCTCTCCAGTGTGAGTTCTTTGATGTACAGTGAATGTGGATTTTTCCCTGAATGCTTTGCCACATTCTGTGCATTCATAGGGCTTTTCTCCTGTATGTGTTCTCTGATGGATGATGAGCTGTGACTTCTGGCTAAAAGCTTTCCAGCACACAAGGCATTCATAGGGTTTCTCTCCTGTGTGGATCCTCTGATGGATAATGAGCTTTGATTTTTCTCGGAATGCTTTCCCACATTCATTACATTTATAGGGTTTTTCTTCAGTATGAGTTCTTTGATGTATAATGAGATAGGACTTCTGAGAAAATGCCTTTTCACATTCATTGCATTCATAGGGTTTCTCTCCAGTGTGACCTCGCTGATGTAGCATGAGATAGGATTTCTGAGAGAAGGCTTTCTCACATTCATTACATTCAAATGGTTTCTCTCCTGAATGAGTTCTTTGATGCACACCTAGATTTGACTTTTGGGTGAAAGTTTTCCCACACACATCACATTTGTAGGGCTTCTCACCAGTGTGAGTTCTTTGGTGCACAATAAGGGTTGACTTTTCATTGAAAGACTTCCCACATTCAGTACATTTATGAGGTTTCTCTCCAGTGTGTGTTCTTTGATGTATAATGAGGGCTGACTTATCACTGAATGTTTTCTTACACTCATTACATTCATGAGGCTTCTTTCCTGTGTGAGTGCTATGGTGTATTATTAGGTCAAGTTTCTGTATGAAAGATTCCCCACACTTGGTACATTCATAGGTTTTCTCTCCTGTGTGGGTTTTTTGATGGACAATGAGGTTTGACTTCTGAGTGAAGGCTTTCCCACACTCATTACATTCATAAGGTTTCTCTCCTGTATGAGTTCTATAATGTATGATGACAGTTGACTTTTCTCTGAAGGCTTTGCCACATTCTGGACATGCAAAGGGTCTTTCTCCTGTATGAGTTCTGAGGTGTATAATGAGCTGAGACTTTTGGCTAAAAGCTTTCCCACATTCGGTACATTCAAATGGTTTCTCTCCTGTATGAGTTCTCCAATGTACAATGAGGTGTGACTTTTTGCTGAAGGTTTTCTGACATGTAGTACACTCAAAAGGCTTCTCTCCATTTTTAATTCTCTGATGAAGGCTAAGACCTTTCTTTTGCCTGAGGGTTTTCTCATATTCTTCATATCCATAGGGTTTCACTATGAAATTAGGTTTTTCATATTCTGTATGGAAGAATAATTTTGCACATCCAGTATCATGTTTATTTTCTGTAGAGCTTCTACCAAGTAGGCTTAAATGGTCCATGATATTATTTCCAAATGATTCCAATTCAGGGGATTTTTGCATTGCAACACCAAGGTTTGTGTTCAGATGAAATGTGTTTCCAAATTCAGTATAGTTCTGGCAACTCTTGGTATCTATTTTATCATCAGGAAACCCAACTTGCATCAACAAATAATTATTTTGTTGATCCAGATATTGTCTCTCAAATGGTTCATTAACTTGGCAGACTTCTAGAAAAAAAGCACAGTAAAATATATACATATATACACACACACATACACACACACACATACACACACACACATACACACACACACATACACACACACATACATACACACACACTTGTCATTATGGGGATTAGACTTTTTCCAGAAATGCCATGACCTCAACTATTACTGCCATACTGCTACTGACCACCTGAGATGCAGATTTAGCAGATCCTAGGTTGGGCTTGACTCTAATTGTATCCTTTGTTTTTGAGACAGGGTTTCTCTGTTGCTTTGGAGCCTTTCTTGGAACTAGTTCTTGTAGATCAGTCTGTCTTCAAACTCACAGAGATCTGTCTGCCTCTGCCTCCAGAGTGCTGGTATTATGGGCATGAATCACCACCACTTGGCTTCTAAGTGTATCTTATAAGAGCTTTCCCCATGATTCAGATGAGACTGTCACATCATTTTATCAGAGTACCAATGGAGAGAGACCTTTTAGTCATGTCCTGCCTTTTTTATGATCAAGAAAAATTTCCCATAACATCTCTCATCATTAATTCTTAGTTATATGAACTTATTTTTGAGATAGGGTCTCCTTATGTAGACCTGGGTGGCCTGGAACCACCATGTAGACTAGGTTTACTTTGAACTCATAAAAATCCACATTTTTGTAACATTTTATATAATCAACAATCAATAGACCAAGATCTATACCAGTGCAAAGTATTCATATCTATATCATATCCCCCTTTAAATGTAAACAAACATCTATAAACAATATTTGGGAATTTGGATATAGTTCTCTCTAAACCGATTCCTGCTTTTTGTTAGATGAAGTATTGGGAGGGGGTTCATGGAGACATTCTGGGGGGGTCTTGAGCCATCAAACCACATTAGTCTGGAAGGAATCCACAGGTTCTCATCCTCTGTGGAAACAAATGTAATGTAGAACCTCTTTTCCAAAGTAAGATATACTTAGACCTAAATTTTGAAGTCAAGATACCTTTAATACATATATATTGGTTTAGCTTAACAGCTCATAAAATGAAATGTCTCTTTGTACTTAACTCATTCACAGTCAAAAATTTAAAGAAAACACAATAATAAACATAATCCAGACTCTCTGTATATATTCCATCTTTATGTGGCTTATTTTTTTCACTCTATTACTTGTTTTTACAAGTTTAATATTTATTTTATTATCTTTACTCCTTTAACCTATGACTGTTTCTACTCTTTTGTATTGTAACACTCTATTCTCCTTTTCCTCTCTCTCAAGTCTATGTACATTTATCTAACACTGTGACACATTCAGAGGATTATTTTTGTCTGAATCTGTCTTTATTGCATATCTGTAATTATTTTCTGACTAGGAGTGCTATTTTTTAAAGTGCTAAGCAGGCAAGTCTAGGACCAATTCCATGGTTTTAACTGTTGGCTCTGCTCAGTTCAACATGGCGGAGGTCCGTTCACAAGATGTGTCTCATTGTCATGAAAGTCCGTCCTTCATAAATAATAATAATAATAATAGATGCTATAGAGATTTGTATTTCTGTGGATCTTGCTCTGTTGATACAAATTTAAGGTCAATTTTGTTATATGTATATTTCTGTTCTTGATTAAGGTATTGTGTTTGTGCAGCTCATTTAAAAATGTAATGTATAATTAAGGAATACCGGTTAATAGATAGTCATCTATAATAGTCAAGCTTGTAGTCATGTTAGTTAGGTTTTCTAGATGTACAAAGATATATTTCAGTTGGATAGTCTTCAAATCTTTCAAAGACTAGCAGAATATGGCATTTAAAATGTTTTAAGAATTTGGGACTTTTCATGACAATGCAACACATCTGCTCCTGGTAGCACCAATCTACTTCAAGAGGAATACGGGCATTGAAGAGGCTCCTTATGGAATTTGCTAGCCGTTTTGGCAAGAAACTGCACTTGTCTGAACTGCTTTATAGTATGTTGTATGAACTGGACATGCAGGACCCATAGACAAATGACTGCTGAAGTTGCCTAAAAGAAGGTGAGACTGTCTTTCAGGGTTCCTGCTTCATAAAAGAGTCTGCCAGATATTCTGCAGGACACAAAAGAAAGTAACTGACAAACCGCCAATATAGGTGGACCTGTCTTTGAAATTTCCTGCTTTATAGAAAAGTCGGCCAGATAGTATGGGCCTGTAGGCTGAAGATGGGTGCCCCAATGTTACAGAAGAACCTTGGGTGTGACTGTCCAGGCAGCGAGAGGTCTCTGTCAATTCTAGAGTTTTGGAAGTTGCTTACAATGTACTTCCTGTTAACTTAGGTAATATTATATCCTTTTGGGGTCTTTGATGGAGATAGTTATAATTATAGTTTTCCTTAGTGGTGACAAAACATAAAGTAGATATAAATATTGTAACTGTAATTCTTGCCTGATAACTGTTTTATGTGATTTTACTATGTTAAAGTTAAAACCTTCCTTTTTATTTAGACAGAAAAAGGGAGGTTTTGTGGGATTCCCCTCTGTATGCTGTGAATGCCTTTGGCTAATAAAGAAACTGCTTGTCCTATGACAGAACAGAATAGAGCTAGGTGGGAAAACTAAACTGAATGCTGGGAGACAGAAGGCGGAGTTAATGAGATGCCATGTAACTGCCACAGGAGATAGACGCTGGAACTTTGCCCAGTAAGCCACAGCCATGTGACGATGCACAGATTAATAGAAGTGGATTAATTTAAGATATAAGAGCTAGCTAGCAATATGCTTAAGTGATTGGCCAAGCAGTGATTTCATTAATATATTCATTAATATAGTTTCTGAGTGATTATTTTGGGTCTGGGTAGCCGGAAAACAAACAAGCAGCCTCCGACTACAGTCCAGGAAGATGTCCTGTGGCCCTCTGGTTATTTCTGGTTAACTGGGGTAAAGTCACCAGTTGTTTTCTGGTCTGCCTTGTATCTGTGTTTTCACACCCTGTTGACACTGGGGACCAAGTCAAACTTGGGGTGGTCCAGCATCTTGGCACCGTCAGCAGGGCTCCAAAGCCTAGGATGCATAACAAAGCCTTATAGTACATTGGGTGCCCAACTTAGAGTTTGGAAAGGCCCGATATGTGAATGTTAGGTAGTCCAGAGGTTTTCAAAAAGGCAACTAAATCAGCCTTCTGTCTTTAAATTCTCTTGGTCAGACTGGTGAAACATCTGTGAGATATCAATTGTTACTGTTGTCTTTTTTATTTTTGTCTTGTGTTATGTGTCTGGTATTTCTGTATATTATGACTTGGGATGGGTGATGTGGAGCTTGGTGGCTAATTTGCAGCATTTCCACTAGTCAAAGCTGGAATAGTTCAACTCATAAAAATAGCAAGACACCTCACTGAAAACAGGAACAAGATAAGGTTGTCCACTCTCTACATATCTATTCAATATAGTACTTGAGGTTCTAGCTAGAGCAATAAGAGATACCATTTGGTATCTCAATCATACCACAAGAACATGTGCTCAACTATGTTCAAAGCAGCATTGTTTGTCACAGCTTGAACCTGGAACCAACCTAAATGCCCTTTGACTAAAAAATGGATAAAGAAAATGTGGTACATTTACACAGAGTACTACACAGTGGAGAAAAATGACATCCTGGAATTTGCAGGCAAGTGGATAGATCTAGAAAACATCATATTGAATGAGGTAACCCAGACCCAGAAAGACAAATATATGGCTTTTAGACAAAAAGCAAAGAAAACCAGCCTACAATTCAGAACCCCAGAGAACCTAGACAACAATGAGGACACTAAGAGAGACATACATGGATCTAATCTACATGGAAATTAGAAAAAGACAAGATCTTCTGAGAAAATTGGGAGCATGGGGATCATGGAAAAGGGTATAAAAGGAGGGGGGAAGGAAGGAGAGGAGTGGAGAAAAATATATAGCTCAATAAAAACAATAAAAAATATACCAAAGCAATTTCTTATGACAAAATGTTTGGCCTATCACAGTGAGTCATACCTATCATTAGCACTGTTGAGGCTGAGGCAGGAGGTTATAAGCTTGAAGCATACCTGGGCAAAACATTGAGCACCTGCCACAAAAGGGAATTAAGACTGCTTATATCTATAGAGCTATAAATGCTACACAGAAAAGTATTCAGATGCAGCTACATAGTTCTTGGGTATTTACCCAAAGAACTCCAAATCAACATATCATACATATCACAGAGATCTGTGGAATATTCCTTTACACTCTATGAATATATGTCACTGTGGCTGGTTTAATAAAGAAGTTGACTCTGCTGTAGCTAGGCAGGATGAGGTTAGGCAGGAGAACCAGACCAAGAAGAAGAGGAAGGGAGAAGTCTCGGGAGTCATGAGGAGATGCAGAGAAAACAGGATATGAACTTGCCATGTTGAGAAAATGTACCTAGTCATGTGGCAGATCAAAGATAAGAAATATGGGTTAATTTAAGTTATAAGAGCTAGTTATTGATAACTATTGGCTGAGCGTCTATAATTAATAAAGAATCTCGGTGTGGTTATTTGGGAAGTGATCGGCAGGACAGAAAATTTCCACCTACAGAGAGACTTGTACATCAATGTCTACTGTAGCACTACTTAAAATAGTTAAATTAAGTTAAATTAAAGAAAATTTACCTTGCCCAACATAGAAGTAGGTAAAGAAAATAATGGTATATATGCACAACAGATTTCTTTTCAGTTATAAACAATGAAATCTATCTCCATCCATCACCAGATGAGGGTTCTATGGTGATATGCAAGATATTGATCAGTGTGGCTATAGGATAGGGCCAGTTCAGGTGCCCTCTCCTCAGCTGTTCAAGGAGCAAGCTGGGGACATCTCCTTGGGCACCTGGGAACCTCTCTAAAACAGAGACAACTGTGCATGACAAACCTGATGGAAATAATTAGGAAGGAAAAAGAGAAGGAAGCCATTCCAGAATCTGATCTAGCTTACAAGAAAAACAGGATAGAGGGCTGCATTAAGATATTACCTGGAAAGCTCCAAACAGAAATTTTCCTGTCTTCTGGCTCTGGTTCTTCTACTTCCAGCTTAATAATGAGATCTGGTTTAGTAACCTGCTGTTCTGAGGTTGATAAATGATATATACCTCCTTGGTCTTCAGATCCTGAAACAGAAGAAGTTACACTTTGTGGTCAGTACAGGGGACCTACCACTTCACACAAACAATTCAACCAATATTTTTCCTTTCCTTTAAGGAAAGAAAATTTGAAATCAAGCAAGCAAAGTCCCCTACACTAGATACAATAACTATCAAAAATTACTTGAAGAAGTCATCTTACCCACAGAGACAAGGTTGCTGTAGGTCTCAAGCATCACATCTCTGTATAGGGTCCTCTGTGGATGGTTCAGGTATTGCCACTCCTCCTGGGTGAAATCCACAGCTACATCCTCAAATGTTACTAGTTCCTGTAATAGGAAGTTTCTTTTATTCTAAAATGCTGACCACTGGGGGATAAGGATATGAGGAAACTTGTAATTGAGCTCCTAGTTCATCAAGATGCCTCCTTCACAACACTCTAATAGCCTATTTTGAAGGAGAATCACAAATCATGAGAGAAAATGATTGCATTAAGTGATAAAATATTTAAGACAATACAATATTATCATAAGGATAGGTATCTAGGACAACAGAATCCAAGTGTGTACAGGGGTTAGAGAGATGGTTCAATATTTAAGAATGCTTGCTGCTCCTCCAGAAGACTTGAGTTTGGTTGTTAGCACAAAAATCAAATGGCTCATAATAGTCTATAACTAGCCATGTCTTCTTGTGGCCTCCATGGGTACCTTCACATACACGGCACACACAGACTACTCATAAGTTAAAAATAAATCTTTAAAAAAATTAAATATGTATAGACACCAGACTTAATGTTGGCACAATAACAGTAAGAAGGAGCTCTTCAATAAATGCAAGTGGATTATTGGATACTTATGTGAGACAAACAAAACTGAACTTCCCTTGCCTTCAGCTACAGATAAACCCCAAATTTAATGTGAGAAGTAGTAATGAGGTGTCTATAAAATGCCTGGAGGGCTTCTCATTTCCATTCTTCTGTCCATCTGTAACCACTTCATCTCCAACCACTTTTTCTGACCGAAAATCAGAGTACCCTGGCTGATCTGTAATCCAGTTAGCCAAAAGTTCTGCTCTGCAGGATTGAACCCAAGCTGAGGCCCTCAACATTAAAAGATATTGATAAATAATAATTAGATTATTGCCACAAACTCTGGAAGAACTTTACCTTAAATTCCTGAAACCCTCGTATAAATCCTGTACAATGACTCACTCAATGCAGATATACCCATTGGCTGTCTCTTTCTTTATCTTACTACCCACTGTGAAGGATTTCCTTAATAAATTATTGGGACAGATCACCTGCTTATCTGTCTCTTTAGTACTCTGATTTGTCTTATCTCCAAACACATTGGGAAATTCCCTTGTGGGAATTCCCCTGTTCAATTTTAGCTGGGGGTTTGGCAAGACAAAACAGTAATACAGGAAATTAAAAAAAAGCAACAAAATTTTCCAGAGGCCAAACTGTGAGACATGAAAAACTCTTCATAAAGAAAAAGATGTGCAAGTGTTATAAGATTTAAAGTATAACAGTGAAAAGGCAAGTCATATTCAGTTAAGTGAAAATTTAAGTCACACTGAGACATCACTATATACCATAATATATGTGTGCTGGTTAGGTTTTTCCAACGAGATACAAACTAGAGTCACCTATGGAGAGGAACCTCAATTGAGTAGTTACTGCCATATAATTTGACCTACAGGCACATCTGTGGTGTATTTTCTTAATTGCTAATTGATGCGGGAGGGCCCATACCACTGTGACAGCAACATCCCTAGGCAGTTGAGCCTGGGTATAAGAGAAAAGTAGCTGAGCAAAGCAGAAAGAGCAAGCCCATAAGGAATATTCTTTCATAGTCTCTGCTTCAGTTCATCCCTCCAGTTTCTTGAAAATTATTCCAACAAGTGATTTTAAAATAACTGCATCATAAAAAATACCCCATCAAAATGCATCACTGACCTAAAGGCAATATCTAAACCCGTAGTATTTGTAAGAAAGAAGTATGAGATAAAATCCCTTAAATCCTGATTAGCCAAGTATCACAAAAATTTCAGATACTCACTCTTAAAGATAATGAAAAGACAGGTCACAGAATAGAAGTAAATATTGCAGATCAGATATCTGATAACCTGAAAAGTACCATTAGACAATTGGAAAGTATACAACTCAAATAAGATATAAGAACAATCTGCAAATATAAAAGCAAGTATTAAAACAGAAGTGAAATATTTTACCAAACAAGACATATAAATGGCAAATAAATACATAAAAGGTTTCCAACATCATTAGTCATCAGGGAAATGCAAATTAAAACCACAATGAATGATATTCCATCACATATCTATTAGAATAGGAGACTTCACAATCAAGTAGTGTAGATATGGAGCCACTAGATCTCTGTTGTCACAGACATGAAGGTAGAAACAGTACAGGCCTTTGGGAACAGTTTTTCAACTGTCCATGAAATTAATAATAAACTATTAAACAACCCAGCAATAATGTTCCTAGGTATTTCACCCCAGTGAAATGAAAGCCACAAAGCCTCCAAAAGCTTATAAATGAACATTTATTTTTTAATCATCCAAACATGAAACAACCTAAGCACTTTTCAGTCAGCAAATGAACAAACTTGAATCCACATAATGTCAACAATAAAAATAAAGGAATTAATGATATAGGTGATAATACAGATAGCAAATGTACTGATATAAATGAAAGAAGCCAGGCTCAAGTAGCTATCTGTTGTATGATTCCACTTACATAACTAATGTGAATGTTAAAAAATGCAGAGACATAAAATATACCAGTGGTTAGAGGACCAGGTGCAGCAGAGGCTGACTACAAAGGGAGTAACAGAACTCTTGCCTCCATTGTGGTGGTGGTTATATAGCTATGGGTTAACAGAACTATACACTAAAAGGATCTATTTTGTTGTATGTAAATTATATCTTAGCTTATTAAAATTAAAAATAAAGAGCTTTCAAGTTGTCTAGAATAAATACGTTTGTATAAACCCAAATCTTTCCATATAGGGACTTAAGAAGTAGATCTGTAGCAGAGCACTAGTCTAGCATGTCCAAAGCATTGGGCTGAATCTTCAACATTTGGAAAAAAAACACAACTTATCAAAGATCCCTCAAATCTCTTCATAAACATACCAATAAACTTTACTGCTCATCAAAGCATACAGTACCACTCATAACCAACACTTTCAGTATAATGTATAAAACAAATTAGAGATTACTACAGAATGTTCTAATTACCTATAAACACCAAACTAACAAGCAAAAAAAAAATCAAAAAAACAAAAACAAAAAACCCCCAAACCTCCAGCTCAGTTGTCTTTTAGTATCTTTCCATGAACAGTTCAGGAGTACAAGAGGGGTCTGAAAAGCCAGAGTAGAGTGGGTAAATGAACTTAAGGTTCATCATTAAGAAAGATGCCCAGTGCCTTGCCATCTATGTACATGAGAAGTACCGAAAAACTGATCTACTATATAAAAAAAAACCCTGATAGTTGTAGGAAAAATGTGCAGGACCCAAGGTGACAATCATGAAAAGCATTACTTCTGAAGGTGAAAATGTAAACAAAGGAATAAAGAAGCATTTGACGTTTTGGTAGTGGCAGGACAAAAACAGAAGGGGAAAATTAGGGTCATGCACGTTATGGTTCAAATATGAAATGTACTTCATAATGCTCTGAACCTTTTTGCTCATTAGCTGGTGGCACTGTTTTGGGAGGTTTTGGGCTTTAGTAAATGGTTCATAGGGAAACTAGGTTACTAGCAAGTAGGGCTCTAATGGTTATGTGTGCTTCTGGTTCTGGTTCCTTGCCCAAAGACTAGTTTTGCCAAGAAGAAAACAAACTCCGAGTGGAGTGTCTTTGGTGCTCAACATTCTCTCAGGAATAGATCAGTGCTGTCAGGAACAGTCGTGTCTCATGCCAACAGAACCCCAAGTTATTTAAATGCTATATTCTCCAACTCTTTGAAGTGGTTGAAGATTACATATCTATGCAGAACGCAATCTCTATGTATCTAAAGAACATGATTAGTCTAACTATAAGTATGACAAACGTAGATGACTATTGACCTATAATTCTTAATACCTATATAATTTAAAGACTAAAACTTCATATTAGAATATTAAACAATCTTTAAACAACTGTGCAACAAATGAGGGAAATGACCTCAAAATATAAACAATGTATAAGTATCTTGATCAGAGGTAGAAATGAATATTGCAATATGATAAATATATCCTAAAATTATATCAATATACAAAATTATTTAAGTAGAGGTAGAAGTATGCATGCATACAATATGACAAAATAACTTTGCCTAGGTATATAAAAATTATAGATGAAAATAGGAACATATTCAATATTATTTAAGTTTTCATCAATATACAAGAATCTATACCAATATAAATGGCCTATAAATAATAGCTTACAAGTAGTTACTCTATTACTTATTATTAGTGTGAGTAAGCTCACACAAATCTATTATCCTATTCAATTTCCCTCCTCTTTTTCAAAGAGATTCCTGAGCTTAGATAATTTCCACACAACCCCAATCCTGTAACAGTTATAATCAATCCCTAAATGATGTCCCTAACCCTGAGGACAAACTTTATTGGGAGAGGTGATGTCACCTTCTAGAATTACTTCCAGCTGTCATGGAGTGATGTTCTCTCCATGGGATCCTGTGAAAGTAAAATGATGGTTAAGTTTCAAGATTACTATCTGACATAATTGCACATAATCTCTGAGTATTCAGTAGGGTTTTTCTGAGGTTCCTATTTGGAGTTCTGGCCAGAACGTTGTAAAAAATGTACCATTTCACCTAACCAAGTTGGAACCATCTTGAGCAGCTGGTACTCGAAACAGGTCTTATAGTAGCGCTATCAGTATCATGATGTCATATCAATCAGGTGGAGTTGCTGTGGGGCCCCATCTTCTTCCTGGAAACTTCAAAGATTATTGCAGGAAAATTAATTGTTCATTGTGGAAAACTGAAACATTATTTATACAGACATATATTCAATGAAAGGTATGCTAGAGACAAAAATAAGTATAAAGTAATTTTTTTCTAAATTATTTCTTCTTTCTGTCCCATACCATGTCTCCTGACATGAGACAGAAACTCTAAATTTTTATTTTAACAACATGTTTGGATTTAGAGAAGGAGAGAGCCATTGTCCAACTCCAAAGCCAGCTTTGATTTTTAAGTGAGTCATGACTATTATCTTAGTTAGTATTCAGAGATTCTTACCCTCAGATGACACGTCCTGACAAGTGATAATTCTCTTTGATTAGTGATCCTATCTGGATAATTATCTTTTTCTCTTTAGGGATCTAGATGTCCAGGGTCTCTTGACTTTCTGAAGATGAGTATTTTCCTGCCAAGACAAGAACAGAACCCTGCCCAAACACTTATGAGATTTCCTTACCACCTGATTGTTCGTCACCTCTGTGAGCCATCATTTCTCTTTCTCAAGAGATTTCTCCTTTTCAAAATGAATTTTTAGTAATTTTGATGGTATCCATAACTTTTCTTCTCCTGTTGAAATGAGAGCAAACCCCCCTTTCCAACGCAGTACATCTCCTGGTTTCCATTGTGAGGTCAACATATCCTTTAATTTAAATACACCGGCTGATTTAATTCAGAAGACTTTTCTATTATTGAATGTCTCTCTGCTGCTATTGTTCCTTTCTCATTAATGTTAAGAAAATTCAAGCTCAATAAAACATTATGTAATCTATTTCTGGGGGTGTTTTCCATCCCTTTCTGTTTGTTTAACATATCCTTTTTAGTTTGATTTTATCTTTCTGTAACTGTCTGACCTGTAGGATTGTGTGGTATACCTGTAATATGCTTTATATTATAATAAGCAAAAACCTGTTTCACTTTCCTAGAGACACATGCTGGACCATTATCTGTCTTTATTTGTGCAGGTATACCCAATGATGGCCATAATTTCTTTCTTTTTTTAAATTTTTTTTCTCAAAGTTTATTAAAATACAAAAGTCTCCATTTCCGCCCCTCCTCCCAACTCCCTCACACTCCCCCCACTCCCTACCCTCCTCCCTCTCCATCCCCAAGAGCAGTCAGGGTCTCCTGCCCTGTGGGTAGTTCAAGCTCCTCCCCCCTCCCTCTAGGTCCAGGCAGGTGAGCATCCAAACAGACTGGATCCCAGAAATCCAGTATATGCAGAGGAAACAAGTCCCAGTGTCATTGTCAATGGCTTTTCAGAAAGACTCCGGGCCAGCCACATTCAGAGAATCCGGCCTCATTCAGAGAATCTAGCTGGATCACGTGCTCGCTCAATCCCAGTCAACTGGCCTTGGTGAACTCTCATTAGATCAGTCCCCTTGTATCAGTGGGTGATCGCACCCCTCGCGGTCCTGATTTCCTTTTTCATGTTCTTCCTCCTTCTGCTCTTCATTTGGACCTTGGGGGACTCCGTCCGGTGCTCCAATGTGGGTCTCCGTCTGTATCGCCATCCATCGTCGGATGAAGGTTCCCTCTGATCTTGCCTTCCTTGCTCACGTTCTCTTTCCTTCTACTTCTCGTTTGGACCTAGGGAGTTAAGTCCAGTGTTCCAATGTGGGTCTCCGTCTCCATCTCCATCCATCGCCAGATGAAGTATCTATGGTGATAAGCAAAATAGTCATCAGTATGGTTATGGGCCAAGGCCAGTTCAGGCACCCTCTCCTCTGTCCAGAGAACAATCTGGGGATCTCTCCTTGGACCTGGGATCCCATTTACAGTCAAGTCTCTAGTAAACCCTAAACTGACTCCCTTAGTTGAGATATATTCTTCCCTGATCCCATATCTATCCTTCCTCCCTCCCCCCTTCCCAGCCCCCCGAGCATTCCCCCTTCCTCCCCTGCTCCCTTCTCTCTAACCCTTTCCCCTTCCAACTACCCTCCTACCCCCCCATACACCCAAGGTTACCTGGGACTCTTGTCTATTTCCAATCTCCAGGAGGAAAACTACCTGAATTTTCTTCAGGTTCACCCTCCTATCCAGCTTCTCTAGGATCACGAACAATAGGCTCAAAGACCTTTAATTATGATGGCCATAATTTCTAATAAATGTGTGATTACTGAATCAGCCTTTTCTGAGCTCAAAGCAGTTGTCCATTGAAAACCTGAATATGTGTCTATGCTGTGGTGCACATATTTTAATTTTCCAAATTCCTTAAAGTGGAACACATCCATCTACCAGATTTCATTCCTTTGAGTACCCTTTGGGTTTGTCCCTGCAGATATCAGTGTTTGGTTATAGAAAGAGCAAGTAGGGCATCTCTTTATAATCTTCTTAGCTTGTTACCATGTAATAGAAAACTCTTTTTTAAAAACCTTTGCTATTGACAAGATGTTTTTTTATAAAATTCTGAGGCCTTCAACAGATTTCCAATCAATAATCAATCAATTTCTGCATTACCTTGTGCTAGAGGACCTGGCAGACCCATACGGGATCAGACGTGTGTTATGTATATGGGACAGAGCCTATTCCTGATTATATCTTCATGATGTAGGAGGGTCATCTGTCTATGTGTTACTTTCATTGGTTAATAAAGAAACTGCTTTACCTGATAGGTCAGAACATAGGTGGGTGGAGTAGACAGAACAGAATGCTGGGAAGAAGGCAATGAGGCAGACACCATTGGTCTCCTCTCTGAGATGGACATGGGTTAGAATCTTCCCGGTAAGCCACGACCTTGTGGTGATATACAGATTATTAGAAATGGGTTAATTAAGATGTGAGAGGTAGCCAATAAGAGGCTAGATATAATGGGCCAGGCAGTGTTTAAAAGAATACAGCTTCCATGTAATTATTTCAGGTGTAAACTAGCTGGGAAGCTGGGATCCCGGCGGGAACACAGCCTGCTTCCCATTTTACTACATCTTAAACCTGCATAAATAATGAAATCAATTCTGTACCATCTGGTATATTTTCAGCAGTTTCAATATGCAAGACAACTCTTTTTGTGTATTGTGAATCAGTAAGTATAGTAAGAGGTTCTTTTTTTAAAAAATATTTTTTATGGTTTATTTAACTTTATTTTATGTGCATTGGTATGAAGGTGTCAGATCCCCTGCAACTGGATCTTCAGACAGTTGTGAGCTGCCATGTGGGTGCTGGAAATTGAACCCGGGTCCTCTGGAAGAGCAGTCAGTGCTCTTAACCACTGCGCCATCTCTCCAGCCCCCAAGAGGTTCTTTAAAATCCCTTAGTACTATGAGAATAGCATATAATTCTGCCTTTTGGACAGAATTATAAGGGCTTTGTCCCACCTTTCTTAAATCTTCTGATTTGTAATCTGCCTTTCCTGATTTACTTGTACCAGCACAGAATGTATGGGCCCAGTTATTGGTGCATCCCATATAATGTGGGGAAGTATCCAAGTAGTTCTCTTTATAAGGTTAATTCTATCACTTTTGAGATAATTGCTATTAATCTCTCCTAAAAAAATTAGCACAGGCTCTTTGCCAAGGTTCATTGTCTTCCCATAATTTTTAATTTCATCAGAAGTAAAAGGGACTATAATCTCTGCTGAGTATATACCTGTTAGTGAACAAAGTCTCAATTTTCCTTTTATAATTAATTAAGAGACTTTTTATCATAAGTTTTAAATTTTTTACTTCGTTTATGTGGTAATATTAAAAGATCCATTGTAAGATAATATCATCCCTTTATATTAAAATTCCTGTAGTGGATTCTGGAAGGCAATATGACATAAACGCAATTAAAATTTGAATTCACCCTATCCACATGTGCCTCCTGCAATTTTCTTCAATGACAATCAATTCCTTTTCCACTTAAACTGTTAATTCTCTGGGACTATTTAAGTCTTTGTCGCCATCTAAGGTTTTATTTAAATGAACTATTAGATCAGGTGTTATCGCAAGACCTGGTCATAGACTGGAAATGTCTCTTAACAATCTTTCAAAGTCATTAAGAGCCCACAATTGGTCTCTCCTAATTTGTGCCTTTTGTGTTCTAATTTTCTGTAAACCTATTTTATAACCT